AATCTGTTCACTGTGTAGGGTTGGCGACTTGCCATCAGGAGGAGGACACAGTGACAATCCCAACAGCAGCAATGGGAATGCCAAAAAGGGGCCTGAAGAAGGCGCGGGTGGAGCAGGGGAAGAGAATGGGGAAGAGGAAGATGGAGAGGATGGCGATGGCCATGGGGACGGTGATGATGAGGATGGCGATGAAGATGGTGAAGAGGATGATGAGGACGGTGGGGATGAGGATGAGGAGGAAATCGTAGAAGAAGAGGAACCCGCGGAGGATGAGGAGGAGGATGAAGAAGAAGAGGCACTCCAGCCTCCAAAGAAGAGGAAGAAGTGAAAGAAAAACTAGTGATACTTTTTAACTGTGGACTTCTGGGTATTTGAACTTGCAACCTTGTCTAGCTTATGAGGGAGAACTGGTTTTTTAACTTGTTTTTATCATCTTGGATTTGAAGCTTTTTAGATAATGGAACTTTTAAGAGCATCAATTTGGTGGATTGAGCTAACAAAATCTACTTTCATCACTTTGATTCTCTATTCTTTTCTCTTCTTTTTTTGGTGGGCTTTAGATGCTAAAGTCTATTAGTATTATTTTTTCACAAAAATATATTAATGCTTTTATTCCTCCTGTCATTGCAGTTACTAAGCAACTATAATTGATCTATGGCATGTCAATTAATAGCATGATCATCTTTTTGCTCAGCTGCGTAACATATACTATGTATAAACAGCTAAAGTTTGTCAAGGTGAATGAAACCATGTCATGATGCTATCCATGCCTTTCAACAGATCGGACTCTGCCAAATTTATAAGTCATCCAGTATTTATTTGAATCTGAATTCAACAGATCCAACGATGGCCAATCTAAATTTGAATCCGTCTTATCTGGATAGCCCAAACAGTGTATGAAAAATAGAGACAATAGAAACAAAATATAAATCTACTAGGACAAAATAACTTAAATTTTCCAATTACGTGTATCCGAATCCACTACATTTAATATTAGATCAATCATGAGATTATAAAGCAATCAAATCAAATTTTATTAAATACATTTCAAATATATTGGATCCCGTTTTGATTGAATTCAGATACACTCAATCCATTGAAAAGGCTACTGTTATCATTTTTTAGAGAGTACACATTTTTTAATAGAGACTAAAATATTAACAAATTTATTAATATGTATCCCAAAGACACCTTAAAAATTTTAGAATGTTAGAAATTTTTATTACATGCACTTTTATACAAAATTTATAAACATTTTAAATTTCTTAATATGTTTACTAAAAATACATTTTAACAAAATCTTTTAAAAATCATTCACTTTGTTGATGGTGCAAATGGAATCATTTCAACTACTAATATCTACACTGGCATTAGAACATTTATTCTTAGGGACACCAACAATTTATGGCCCCAATTTTAACATTGCTTTTCGTGCCAACAAAAGAGAGCCTTGAGCAAACACCATTGTAATCCCTCAAGCCTAAACCACATTTCATAAGAGAAGAAGCCCCATTTTGCACATCAAGCAAATTGGATTAAGCAACTCCAAATAAATATTGAGTACAACAATGATCCCATCTACGCAGTATCAACGACGACCAATAAGAAGTTCCAAATGAGGTGAATATACCTGTCCCATTTAGAGTTTCTTATTGGTTAGTGACACCGGATAACAATTTTCACATGATATCAAGGCAACACAAATATACAATTTCCTCAATAAACTCAATCCTAAAAGGTACCCCCTAGTCATCACTAAGCCAATCCAACACGAGGACAATTTGGCTCAGACCTTGCACTAGTTCCAAGAGTGTTCAGCAAAGCCAGAATTCATGTGGTTCCCTTCTTAGATTGTTTTATCTTTTCCTTCTTTTTTCTTTTACGTTAAATTTTTTATTTAAATCAAAGCATCAATAAGAGGCTTAGCAATATATATATATATATATATATATGGATACCCAAAATAGAAAGAATCAAACAATCTCAGTGGTATTAGCTGATGTAATGCAGAAAAAAGCTAATTTAAGAAAGTGCACATGGAGTACAGTGGTATTCACTGGAGATCCTTTCAACAAGCCCTGATGTATGATCCCTATTTGCAGAAGTAGAAACTCTCTTGCATGGCCATTGTCAAACAATCTCACTACATCAATACTCTTTCATCATTGCACAAAAGCCATTACTTTACGTTCTTGTATCACTAAAACAGCTACTCCTAATAGAAGCGGCAGGGTAGAATTATTCCGAAAGTATTTTAACAGGAACAACTGTGTACATTTTTTATTTTCTACTTCCTTGTTCTATAGTCATGAGACAAACACTAACTGTCCAATTACTACCTTCATGGAACAAGTAGAGTGCAAAAACTCTAGACCTAAAGGGATGGTTCAAGATATGGAAGTAGGAACGCCAAAAACCTAATTTTATTACTTGACTAAGGCCTGGTTTGGCATACCAGAAAAATTACAAATTAAAAAATTATTAAAAAAATTAAAAAGTTATCACTATTCACAAATTAAAAATATAAAAAAATTAATTTACACAATATTTTAATACAAGCCAATGAGTTGTCAGTACGTATTGGTCTGTCAAAGGAACAAAAAAGAAAATTAGATATATATATATATATATATTCATTAAGTTGGAGATTAAGTTGGAGGGTAATGTTGGGCCCGTGACGGGTTCTGTTTTGATAAACCGAACCGTTCAATGTTTAGAACTCGTTGAGTACTATATGCCTATAGAAAATCACATTGATCGGATATAGATAGCTATGTAATCAAATCGGATTTTTTTTAGCCGTTTACTTTTCACTATCCATTAATTTCATACAAAACTGTTTTGATCACATAGCTATTGATCACATAGCTATCGACATCCAATTAAAGTGATTTTTCATAGACATATAATACTCAACGAGTTCTACACATTGAACTGTTCGGATTATCGAAATGGGACCCGTGGTGAGCCCCCACGGCCCAACAGTACCCGTGAAGCCTCATGCACCATTTCAACCAAGCCGTACTATCCTCCTGCCGCCTGTCATTGATGGGTCTACCATGTAAGGGTAAAAACATAATTTTTCCATTTTATACAATATTTTAATACAATTTTTTTTTTTGTAAAAAAGACAAAAAATTATCCTAAACAACCTTTTTTTTTCCTCAACTTTTTAGTCCAAAAATTCAAAAAATATACTTATTTAGAACACCCCAAACAACCCCCAACATTCCAAGAATGAACAAATAAAGGAAGAGATACACTTAGCCGTCTCATCTCCTCAAGATGGAGGAATCTCGAGTTCAACTCATCCCCCTTGGAACGCACCCACATAATTATCCCAGTAACTACTTTGTGAACGTGGGGAATTAGCAAGTAAGAGGTGGATATCTCGCTAGAAATAAATTAATTAATTAACAAACAAACAAACAAGAATGGAAAGATTTTGACTTTGTTCAATTCAATACAAAACCATAGCAAATCCACAAAAAAAGTTACGAAAACAGAAAGAAAAATACAAATTTACTTATACTATAATCTATAGATTAGTTTCTACTTACAAGTCAGCCATCTCACAAGATTTACATGTTACTCCATCTGGTCATCCTATGTTTAGTAATTGTCTTCTTCCCTGATCCTATGAAGAAAAAAAAAATTGTTTTATCAATAAGTACGCACGAAAAGACAGAATGAAAACACTGACCTTAGAAATAATGGTTACTCGACAATGTTCACATTTGTATGAAACCACACCATACAACTATTTATCATAAACTGTAGACCACAAGGTGTAATATGTAGTAAGGCAATTGCACGATTGATTTGAGTGGAAACTGGTGTAAAAGAACTAATAACTTACTAGAGTAGTAGGCTGTTGTTGAAGTGCCTGATCATTTCTTTGTTGCATCAATAAACATAGCTCGAGTCCAATGCTCAACATTCTCAGTTTGTGATGGAGGAGGAGGAAAAGTCGGATGCTCCACAAGATCCCATCCTTCTATAAGGTTTTCATACTTTCCAATATCAGATGGTTCGGTGGCATAAAGAAAACTGGCAGCAGAACTTGGAAAGTTATTGTCACAAGTATTTCTCTGCATGGTGAAAAAAAGAACCTTGTCAACGAGCAAGCACGCCAAATACTCAATAAAACCAATCTCAGATTGTCCAAAGGTTAAATTTTTTATATAAAAAAAATGTCACTTCTTCTCAAATATTATGTTATATCAATGGTAAGCAGTATACTTCTTAGTTATCACTAAAACAAAACACAAAGATACCTTGAGCACACTTTGACTGAACAAACAATGCACTACTTTCCAATAAAATGATAATACTAATTTTTCTTTCTTCTGATAAATCCTGCTCAACAAATAATGCATACAAAGGCCACCAGCATGTAGTTTTAAGCTATGGAATGCCAACAATCCTATGTTTGCAATATGTGTTGTACGAGTATGAGAAAGGTTTAGACACCTATGTGTGATAATCGAATTGTGTTTTGAGGTCACATTTCCTACTAAATAAGTTCTTTTGATGTGACTGTATCAAAGCCCTCCAACTACCGCCACCTATGTAGATTAACTAATATAAGTGTTTTATTTTATTTTATTTTATTTTATTTTTATTTTTATTTTATTTTATTTTTTGGGCAAATTACATATACACCCCTCCAGGTTTGGTTAAATTACAGATACCCCCCTGAGGTTTCGGAAATTACATCCCGCCCCCTGAGGTTTGTATTTTCATAACAATTTACCCCCTGAGGTTTATATTTCATAACAAATTACCCCCTAATTTCTTATGCAAATATAGCATTCAGGGGGGAATTCGTAATTTCTCAAACCTCAGGGGGGTATCTGTAATTTTGCCAAACCTGGAGGGGTGTATATGTAATTTGCCCTTATTTTTTTTGGGGGGGGGGGGATGAAAAAGAAAAAAAAGAAATAGAAAAAGAAAAAGAAAAAGAAAAGAAAAGAAGGAGCAAAAGAAAAGCCCAAAAGAAAAATCCGATGAGCCATGCTAAGGGGTGCAATGTTTAATAAGCCCACTCCAATGTACAAAGGCACAAAGATCCATTAGTAACAAAATTCAATAGTTCTTCAGATGCAAAGTCTAGGCTGAAATCGATACCATTTGAGGTATTGTATGTGCACTCTCTAGTAAAGTGCTCGACGAAATGGCTGAATTCACATTCCATGCTGATTTGCTCAGTTGTTGAACTTGCTTGGATGACCTGAAAAACAAAATCAACAAATGTCATGCACAGCAAGGACAAAGCATCACACAAATAACACATAATAAATATTACTAAAATGAAAGACTCTCATCATGCATGACATTTGAAATAGGTTAGAATAATCGACAAAGCAATTTCATAGCAATATTGAGTGGTTCTGCTACAAGGGAGAAAAGATGGGAAGATTTTGACCTCCCTTCGTTGTCATTCAGTCCTTTTAGCATAAGCGACCTGAAAAATAATTATACATACTTTTCTTTTGTTTAAAATTGCAGAACCTACTAGCAATAAACATAGCGAATTCTCTCTTTCATTTTTCTGAGTATAATATAATTTTACCATAACATTGCCAAAATGTTTGGAGACACTCAACTCTGGAACAAAAAGAAAGATCCTTTCTTTTAAGAACACGTCTTTCAGGAACCTCAAAATGACAGGTGCCAATGAGGTTAGGCTAAAGTAAAAACTAAGAGTCACAAAAAAGGCTTCATTTGAAGATAGAAAACGCAAAATGGATACTCCTAGTCGATGTCATCTAGAATAAATCGAAGGAAATTGAATTCATTAACATGAGAAGTCCAGAAAGAAGGATCTGTAATTCAACTTAATATTTCTAATGGCCTTTGAGTATCTGAAAATCTTCAAATAGTTGATTACAAACAGAGTCCTTAGCTTAGCCTATTTCTCTAAGTTGCTTGTAGCCTTTGCTTTCGCAGTTCACCTATTTAAAGATCCTTTAGGTTGGCCATTCCACTAGTGGCAATATGGCCAGACCAAAGCTGGCATTGTAACCCCAGATTCTTATCAGCTAAATCTCTTTGCGGGCAGCTCTCTGTGCTTCCAGGAATTTTAGCATATCTTATGATGGTTGACGTCCAGCTACAAGCCTCTCCAAATTTCCCTCACCTTGAAGTATCAATTTGATCTAGAAGCCAATCCAAACTCATTGAAAGGCCTGTCATCAACCGGTCAACACGGTTCAATGTTTGCTCGCGTGGCGCAGCAATGGTGTGCTAGGCGTTAGGTGCGCCTGGCTTGGATGGCCCTCAAAGCATTTGAGGCAGTTCGGACCTCGGCAGAGATTTTATATTATTTTTTGTTGTAATCGCGCTTGGCCCACATGCTGCACACTCCGATAGACACGGCATTGGCTAAACCCGCTAATTGCGTGGTGATGCGTCCACGTGCTGCGCACTTTCATGCGGAGTCCCCCCGAGTCCATAGAATAAGAGGGGGACGCGTTTCCTTTTTCCCATCAGCAAACAACACCAACTCACTGTGCTAGTATAGTTCATCTGAGAACAGACACACTGCTGAGCAAGCTCTCTTTCTCCAACTAGCTTTTTCTTTGCTGACATTTCCTACAGAATGGCAGCAAAACAGATTCCGTTAACACAACTACTGCTCAGGTTGATTTAGAGGCCGCCTTGGCCGAAGCGATCGGGTCTACATGGAGATTTGCATCAGACTTTCCTCTTAAAAATGCAATCGCGAAACACTGCCTCGCCAATTGGCTTATCGCTCGAAAGACTTCAAGCAACCACCAATTGATAGTTCACCGTGAATTCCATGGGCCACACCTGCCCGAAAACAGCGTAGGGGCAGTCTGCAAATCTCTCAGACTTTTTAATATGGTCGAGATCAACGTAGTACCGACCAAAGATAAAGATTTCATAGTCGTCCACGACTTCAACACAGAAAGAACGACGCAGTTAGGCAATTGAAATTGGTTTGATATGTCGACGAAAGAGGCTGTTGGCACCCCCTGGTAGTTCCCATAATGGGCGGTGACTCCCTAACCAGCGAGTTCACACCCACCGATGAGAAAGTTGTCAAGCAAGAAACCCTTCTCAAGAATGCCTTTGAAACAAACAAACAGGCAACCATACAGATTGACGCTCACGAGAGGCAGGCCGCTCCCCTCGTCGCTTGGCTGAACCATAGGCCGGCCTATCACGACAAGACAATCGTTATCTTTCATACATATGGATACAACAATGGACATGAGTTCGCCTTGGCGGTCAATCAAGCCGGCGCTACAAAAAATTGGCGCGAAACTGTAGCGCTAATGCCAAACATTCTGCCGAATGAACTCTCTAGGCTCGCGAAGCAATATCCACCAAATTGCACGTCGCATTTTTACGACCTCGTTGAGGCCAGCAAGAATTGGTTCGCATCTGTCTTCTCCCAGAATATGATGGTGGTCGTCACTTTCCTCAAGATTGCGGGCACTAGCGAAGGACAGACTAACAAAGTCGTTGATCCAAATGGAAATGAGGTTCTGTATCCTAAAGAGAAGGAGGAATATCTCCGCGATTCCGCTTCAATCGAAATCGCGAAATGAATCTGCGCCACCCATCCCGGAATCGAGATTGGAGGCGTCACACGAACTTATGCTTATAAGAGTCGAGGGCATCGCTACAAAATCAATCTTTGGACGGGTCAACCGAAGCGGTGGCCGACCCACGCGACGAAGTACATCTGGGAAGATTTCGCCAAGCCTGGAAATGCGCTCAGATGGGGTCAAACGATTATCTCTGATCGCATTGGTGACGACCTTGCAGCTTGTGTGCTTCAAAGCCGTGGAGAAAATTTTGTCAGCAGTCATGAATATCCTGCTGTTCATGTCGATTAGATGGGCGATCTGTGTCTTAGTCTAAGCTTCTGCTTAACGCATCTTTGCTACTTTAATGTATTTTTTTAATGATATTGTTGGAGTTTTGAGCACATCTTAATCGCAAGTAGATATTTTTTTTGAATCGGATTCGACTTCAAGCAGATGTACTTCTTTGTCTCTCGATAAATCTAATGACCCTGCGAGCCGGCCTCTCGCCTTAAACTAATTTCTGAGAGTTAGGTCGGCGCCTCTCGTGGTTTCCATGTTCTATGGAAACGGCCGCTCGGGACTTGCCTTCCCGCAACTCATCGAGCTTGCCTGGCCCGCTCGGGTGGTGGCACAAGCCATCGTTAAATCGTTCGTAATCCTCTACTCTCGCATAAATGAGAGGGGAATCCAAAGATGATCACTTTTCAGCTAATTGGAATCTGCAATCCCAAAAGAGGCAAGCACTATGTGGGGTCCACAACTTATAGAATTTTGGCCTAACCATTCTGCATAATGGATCATGACATGGGCCATTTATGGCCGCAAAAACTGGCACAAATTCCAACCTATTCAGCACAATGAACAAGTTCTTCCAATTGGAATAAAGGAGGTTAAAATTATTCGAGTAGACATGACGTGCTGGCACGCCACTAGCCTCGCATTGATGCCACTCTTTCTTGCGCACACTTATATAATGCTGAGCTAATAATAGAGATAAAAATAGTCCGCTTGTAAACTGGACCTTTATTACTGCCCCTAATCTCAAGATCAAAGCGACATATACCTCTTCTCTTTTAAGTCTTTTTGCAACTTGTTCCAAAGCAAGCGTTTGTGAATCTGCCAGGCAGCCTTCACGAAAATGGCTGATCAACTGTGTGAGGGGCGTTGGTCCGAAGCCAATCTATCATTCGTTGGGATATCCATCACCCCTGAATTCATCGATGAGGCCCTCAGAGGTTTTTGGGAGTCTTTTGCCAAAAGAGCCGTTGGCTACAAAGAGGTTTACGTTCAGGTTGATCGAGATCCTAAAGTTGCCTGGGAAGGAGCGCTCAATGGTTACCTCGGCAAATATTCTGGCGTAAAAAATGTTCATTTTGCGCCGAACAACGCCACGATTGGAAAGCCCCCACGCCATATCGACATTTTGCTTCGGAAAAAATTTAGCGGCGAACTTCTTGCAACGCTCGAAGGTGTGGCAATTTCAAACGGTGCAACTGGTTGGCTTGCGCTCGCATGTGTAAACCTTCTCTTGAAGGCAAGACAAGATATTGATGTCTTCTTGTTTGGGGCAGGAAAAGTCACCGAGGCTGTGATTCTTGCCCTCAATCATGGTGCGGCTGCAAAAATCAAAACCATGGCAGTGCTCAACCAAGCTCCAATTGAAGGTGGGGTTCCAGCTCGATGCCATCATTGATCGGAAGGTTATACCAAAAGCCAAACTCGTCATAATAGCAACAAATTCTGAGGAGCTCGGTACTCGAGGCCGACGAAATTGCGCCAAATGCAGTAACCATATCCCTCGGAAAAGATGAATTGCCCGCCGCCTACTTCGATCGCCTTTTGAACGCAGAGGGTCTGATTATTGGCGACGATCTGGATGCGATCGAATCGCGCAATGTCAATTCCCTGGTGCTTTACTACTCAAAACGTGATTTGAAGCTGACAGAACATGGAAGGGATCATTGGATAAAGAACTACGCCAATGTCCTTGCTGATCCAGCTCTCATGGAGGAACTTAAGACATGAGAGGGGCCAGCCAACTTTTCATCGGTTGGCCTTGCCAGCCTAGACTTGGCAATGGCCGGCCGACTCTACGAAACTCTTACTGCGAAACTCTCCCACCCCCAGTAGACAAAACCCTCTTAGGATTGCGCTCTTCAGAAGGTGCGCCTCCTCAGTCACAACCGAAAAGTCACTCAACTTGGCTCAAGTACCCTACTTAGTTTGTCTCTCTGTCGTGTTTAGTATCAGCAACAATAACAAATATTGTAAATAACATATATTTATATGGTAATTATATGGCATGTAAGCGTGACAACGATTATGTTTTCCATAGTTTGATAAACTCAACACCCGAAAAAGCCGGTGACCAAAGGGTTGGGACCTCTTTGCACGAACTCCTATGGCTGCCAAACTATCTACAGAGCTTTGACGCAGCATCTGATCGCCACACAATCCTCGCGGACGTGGATGGCGTGGCTACATGCAAGCAGTTTGACTGAGAGTTTTCGAGTGACTATTTTAAAAGGACAATATTTCGTCCCAAGCGATAAAGCTCGCTCACATGACTAAGTCGTTGCTTTAATTTAACTGCGTGAAAAGATTTAAAGGGCAGAACTGTTTGTGTTTCGTATCCAGTTCACCAGCAATTATTGGCTACGCATGAAGCTCATTATCGTCGATTCTTTACCCAAACACTGATGCCATTCCAAATGAGTTAGGCCAAAGATGTACTCATGTCGGACAGGCGCGATTTGGACTTCGTGATCCTCAAGTCTATCGCAGTGCTGCTTTATTACAAGCTATGCTTCCACCCTCCATTATTTGGTCAACTGGACCTAGCTTTTGACAAGAATAGGCCAGCGTTCATCTATCTATCTTTCAAAAACATGCAGTTGCTGCTGCGTAAAGGATGTAACATCGGATTTGGTGTGGAGACGGTGCTCGCTACGACTATACTGCCTTACTGTAGTGATCTGTCCCGCCAAGCGATGAGGGGAGCGGCCTGCCTCTCGTGAGCGTCAATCCATACGGTTGCATGTTCGTTTGTTTCAAAGGCATTCCCAAGAAGGGTTTCCAGCTTGACAACTTTCTCATCGGTGGGTGTGAACTCGCCGGTTAGTGAGTCACCGCCCATTTTGGGAACTACCAGGGGGGTGCCAACGACTTCCTCCGTCGACATCTCAGACCAATTTCAATTGCCCAACTGCACCGTTCTTTCTATGTTGAAGTCATGGGCGACTATGAAATCTCCATCTTTGGTCGGTACTACCTCGATCTCGACCATATTGAAAAGCCTGAAAGATTTGCAAACTGCCCCTACACTGTTTTCTGGCAAGTGTGGCCCATGGAATCCACGGTGAACTATCAATTGGCGGTCGCTTGAAGTCTTTCGAGCGATAAGCCAATTGGCGAGGCAGTGTTTCGCGATCGCATCTTTAAGAGGAAAGTCCGATGCAAATCTCCATGTAGACCCAGTCGTTTCGGCCAAGGCGGCCTCTAAATCAACTTGAGCAGCAGTTGTGTTAACGGAATCTGTTTTGACTGCCATTCTGTAAGAAATGTCAGCAAAGGAAAAGCTAGTTAGAGAAGGAGAGCTTGCTCAATAGTGTGTCTATTCTCAAATGAACTATACTAGCGCAATGAGTTGGTGTTGTTCGCTGATGGGAAAAAGGAAACGCATCCCCCTCTTCTACAAAATTCTGTGGGCCCGGAGGGACTCCGTATGAAAGTGCACAGCATGTGGACGCATCACCATGCAATTAGCAAGCTTAGCCAATGTCGTGTCTGTCAGAGTGTGCAGCATGTGAGCCAAGCGCAATTACAATAAAAAAATAATATAAAAACTCTGCCGAGGTCCGAACCGTCTCAAATGCTTTGAGGGCCATCCAAGCCAAGCGCACCTAACGCCTAGCACACCATTGTTGCGCCGCTCGAGCATTAATGGTTCGGGACCTGGTGTCATCTGGAAACCTATGAAGCATGGACACGGCAAAATCAGCGCCGTGGCGGTGTCAGACACGAGGACACGTCGGGGACACGTACAGGACACGTCATCTACCGTGTCCCTTTAATTTAATTGTTTTTCTTGTAGGGGACATGCGTGTCCAGATCTGGACACGACGTGAGACACGGCAAGGAGGGAGAGACAAATGAGAGACTGTGGAAGAGAGACAAACCTGTCGAAGATCAAAGATCGAAGCTCCATCAGTCGAAGATCGAAGATCCATGAATCCAGTCGAAGATCAAAGCTCCAAGCTCCTCCATCAGTCGAAGATCGAAGATCAAAGCTCCATGAATCCAGTCGAAGATCAAAGCTCCAAGCTCTATCAGTCGATCGAATAATCGAACACCCCAAACGAGCGCGATCTGTCTCTCTCTCGCCTTCTCAATCTCTCTCTCTCTCGATCGCGACCTCGACCTGTCTCCCTCCCTCTCTCTCTCTCTCTCTCTCGCCTTCTCTCTCTCCCTCGCGATCGCGATCGCTTCGCTTTTTCTCCCTCTCTCTCTCTCTCTCTCTCTGTCGTTTTATCTTCTTCTTGATTCATATCTCTGTCTATATATTCGTATCTATCTATTATTATAATAACTATAATAATAACTATTATTATTATATGTTAAATAATTATTATTATATAACATATAATATATTTATAAGATAATATATAATATATATTACATATTATAAGATAATATATACTCATATATATTAATAAAAAAAATAAACACATGCATGTAAAATAAAATAAAAAAATTAATTGAAACATATTATTTAAAAAATATAATAAATAATTAAACAATTAATGTGTATTAAAATAAAAATATTTATAAAAAAATTAAAAAATTTGCCGTGTCCCCTGCCGTGTCCGTGTCCGTGTCCCTATTTTTTAGAAATTGCCGTGTCCCGTGTCCGTGTCCGTGTCCGTGTCCGTGCTTCATAGCTGGAAACAATGCCAAGCCTAATACATGTTGCAGCCGTGGCTTATCAAAATTGGTCAAATGGATGACCCTTTCAATTTTACAAGCCTTAGACTCGAAACCAATTTGGCGTGTGACACGCAACAAATGAACATTGAACCGTGTTAATAAGTTGATGGCTTTTTACGAAAAAATGTGCAGAAAGATAAAGAGAGTGATGTGACAACTTATAGTGACTTTTTGACTTTTAAGCTAAAATAGCCTATCCCCAAATGGGTAATTGTTTAGTGGATGTACAATAGACAACATGTCAGCTCTATCTTATATTAAATGGACTCAACTAATGAGTATTGGCCTATCGGGTATGTGTCCCTCCGACCCAAGCATTGGGCATCTCTATACCCTAATCTTAGGACATAGGAATATTATACGTAGACTTGAAAATGAGCCGAGTCGAGCATTAGTACGTTTGGACTTGTTTATTAAGATTTTAACGAGTTTGAGTTCGAGCTCGAACTCGAACTTAATAAAAATTTAACAAACCGAGCTTGAGCCGAGTTAACTTAGGCATGACTCAAGTTTGAGCCTCTTCATGAGCCTTAACGAGCCAAAAAAATTATAAATTCATACTTGCATATGAGACTAAAGTTACAATTAAAACTTTGATTATACAATTATATATACAATATATACAAACATACTAAAAAAAGATCAATATTTTATCAAAATAATAATATTTACCACCACTATTATATAAATGTATTATCTATAGCTAGCTATTATTTACATTTATATTTTTTAAATATATAATTAACATATTTATCTTTTTTTTATACATATTTTTATATAATATATAAATAATAAATGTTAAACGAACCAGCAAACGAGCCGAGCTTACGAGCCAAGTTTTAATATGTTTGTGTTTATTAAAATTTTAACGAGCTCGAACTCGAAAGCAAAAAAAATTTAACAAACCGAGTTCAAGCGAGTTCTTACCGAGTCAAGCTCAAGCCTGTTCATGAACAGCTCTGTTCATTTGCAGCCCTACATATTCTAATACGATGTTATTTTTTAGTAATGGACTTCAAATTAAAAGGGATTTAGGGAAAAGGGGGATATTTATCTCCCATCCATGTGTTCTTTACTATCCAGAGGGGATATCTTCTTCTCTAAACATCATAAAAAATTAGAGGATCGAATCGCCTAATTTGGGTGTGAGAGTTGGACACATATTTCATACCCTCACCCTTTGTCATACCTGTTGGATACAGAGTCCATGTAACATTGGTTCTAGCTAACACACCCAACAAATTTTTAAACACACCTAGCAAGTTTCCACGTTTGTCATTGTCATATGTTGGACATAGAGCACTAACACAAATAGAGTAGCATGCAAACTTGTGATTTCACAAGTAACTGGGCCCGCCATAGCATCTCCAAACACTGATCAACAAAGAGCAAAAAGATTTAAAGCAAAGGCATGAGGGTGACCCTTTGACCATCACTATTCACATCAAATATATTGCCTTCAAAAAGAAAAGTCCCCTATTTGACACTGATACTCTTCCCATGTACATTCCTCTTCCAATTGCAGCAGACCATATGGCTCAATCATGAGCCCATCTACAGAGAATTTATAGCCAGTTTGAATTCTATGGTTGACAAGTATTACTTTGAATTTCTATAAAATTTACTTACTAATAACATATCCATAGCCTATCAGTTTCACTAGTAACTGGGTCCACCATAGCATCTCCAAGGACTGACCAGCAAAAAACAAAAAGATTTAAAGCAAGGGCGTGAGGGTGACCCTTTGACCAACACTATTCACATCAAATATATTGCCTTCAGAAAGAAAAGTTCCTTTTTTTCTTTTTTGTTTGATTGGCACCGGTGTTTCCGGATCAAAGCCCGACTAATCCTCAGGGGTGCACAGGCCCTCGGCAAGGAGTTTTCCGCAAGTGCACCATGGTTAATTCAAGAGCTTTCCCCCAGTCCGGTGGCCCTAAGGAATTATTAGCACCTAAAAGGTTTCAATCCTTGAACCCCCAAGACCCAAGGCCTTCAGGCCAGCCCCTTGGGGTTAAGAAAAGTTCCGTATTTTGACACCTGTACTCTTCGCATGTGCATTCCTCTTCCAATTGCAGAAGACCATATGGCTCAATCATGAGCCCATCTATAGAGAATTTATAGCCAGTTTGAATTCTATGGTTGACAAGTATTAATTTGAATTTCTATAAAATTTACTTCCTAATAACATATCCATCCAGGGCATGTGAAACTTCTTCTTTAATGATGCATAAATAGCGAGCCAAAATAAATATGCACATGTCAATGATTACTTCACATTTCTATAAAATTTACTTCCTAACAACATATCCACCCAGGGCATGTGAAACTTGCTGTTCTTTAATGATGCGTAAATAGTGAGCCAAAATGATGATGCAGATGTCAAGTATCACATGAGGGAAAATAGGATAAATACCTCGAACAAGCCATTTTCAATGAAAAAACAGATCGCACTTCCTTGGGGGAAGAAAGTGTGGCCAGCAACTTTGCAAATGCTTCAAAAGTAGATGCCTCAGCAGGGACATCTAAGCATAATGAGTTATAACAGTAAGCTGTTACGCATGCCACACTTTTTTTGATAAGTGAAATCCCTTTCTGCAAGTCCTGATGCGTTTCAACAGAATGTGGCGAAGCCGAAGAATAGTTGAAGCTACTACTACGAGAAGAATCCAAATGGGCCTTCCTGTCAGATTCCATTGAAGCAACACCAAAATTACTTGAGCTTCTATCAGACCACGAAGTCTCCCCACTAACAGTGCAACTATTTTGGCGCGGTATAAATAGCGGGTATTCATTGCTGCATGACATAAATTATAGATCAATCCAACAGTCAATAAATCTCAGTAACCATTATTCCAGTCAGTAATACCTTCTGGAAGACGGACGGGCATCCCAATAAGAGTCTCGTTGCCATATTCGGGAGCATGAACCCTGAAACAAAATGATGGCATGATTACAACAAAGGTAACTAGATGAAGATTAGCACATGAAAGCACAAACTGTTGGTTTCTTGTTATGGCTTTAAATATCAGTTTGACAATAGACAATACAACTTCAAGATGGAAATAATTCAGGTAATTTTAAGTTGAAATAATCAATTATAAAATTTGGCAAACAATAAAAAAACAATTAAATTTTCTGGATGACTCGAAAAGGAAAATCTTATTCAGGTCAAACTAGAATTCATATTCATATGTTATGATTGAAATTTATATGCACTTTTTTAAGGGCAAACTAGAAATCAAACAATCTTATTGATACATATATGTGATGGTTTCCACATAATGAGTTACCCAAAAAACCACAAAAGATGCCTTTCATTTTATCCTCCATTTGTTCTCATCCAATGATGTAACCATGGTATGTGTTAATTTGATGTTATACATATTAAGATTTCAACTTTAGAGCCTATAATAATGGTATATTACAACCCATGTTATTTAGTGCATGATAGACTTCGAACAACGGCTCCACTTTGCCTAAAGGAATAAGATATGCAACACCGTTGACAACCATAAATAGGCAACAATTTATATTTACATCACATCCAAGATTAGATTGTCATTATGGAAGGTATAATAAGAATCAAGGTACAGCAACCATATATGACAAGAATAGTTTAATGTTAAAAGGTCACAATTGACAGACCTCTCCGCCATGATGCTACTCTATATGTATATAAATCATAAATTTCAGAAGTTGCAACTTCCAAGAAATACTATAACCTATCAATTTGAATAAAGGTAAGAGAACATCTTTAAAAAGTGATGTTTACTCGGGAAATCCTGACAAAAAATTTCACAATTCGATTCAATATAAATTGTAGCTGCATCTATCTCTCCCCTTTTTTTGAGTTTCCTATATCTACTAAAGATATTTTCCACTTAAAAATATTTTCACTGCAAAGTGAAGTTGGAATTTTTGATGAACTCAGCACAGTCCAAGAAATTTAAGAATTAAGATAAGATTCACAAAGATAGCTTTGACACATACACATGGAGGTGCATCCAAACTTACCGCAAAACCTGAGTTATGAAGAGCAGGAGCAGCAACACTGTGAACAACAAGATTTAAAAGTTGCACCATGTACCTGAGTTCCAGCCATTGATAAACCACTGGTTAGTTCAAAACACAAGAACATTCAACTTGAACATAAACTAACTGAATAGAGCTAATTTTGTATGAAAACGTAAAAAGACAATATGAAATACAGCGCATGGAAAGCCATAATGCATCATAACAAGATGTTACGTACAAGTTATACATGACGGAAAATATCTACAATGGAGCTTCTTATTAGGAGCAATGAACACATTGGCAACTACCTAGCTAGCGAAAGTGCCAACAATAATGAATCCTTTTCTATAAAGTCGAAACAAAGAAGATCCAGAATATGATGATACATAAATACTCACAACACGAACACAAAAGGCTAACTCTTTTAGGAAAGCAAAATACCAAAACATTATTAGAACTCCTAGAACCAATAAAGGAATAAGCTGATCACAGATGGACTTCATTAAATCCTATCAGTATAATCATGACAATGAGCTAATTGCACCATCTTGAAATAGGTTACTCCAGCATATGTGAATTTTTTTAGTTAATATAGCTCAAAGAAAGCCAAACATGAAAAACAGGAGGGGGTAGGGTGCCCCCCCCCCCAAAACCCAAAAAAAAAAAATATATATATATATATATGTATATATAGAGTTAAATTGAGAAAGAATACCCCAAAGAGGCAGCAAGTTCTTTAGATGGAATTGAATGGGGATCAAGTCCTCTTGGTAAGAGTGCATTACAGATTTGATCGTATTGACCACTCGACCCATCTTTTCTCTCTCCATCTATATTTACCTGCAGCATGAATATGATATAGCTCATTCAAATCCACTAGAACAATCACCCTAAAGAGTTATAGCCTAGAAACATTAAAAAAATAATCCAATCATTCTACAAAATTATTCAGAACATCGAAGTCGTGAAATTAAAAACTTTAAATAATATACCATGAGACCAAATTGAAGTTCAACCAAGAAACGGGCCAATAAAAAGAAACGGACTTCAATTTTTTTTTTTTTTTTCTTATCTCCTTTTAAGGGATATTTTTTCCTGATTATCTGAAATTATAAATTAGAATAGTTTTAGTAACAACCATAGAAATATGATATGGCTATTTTTTTTAAAAAAAATAATGCAACCATCTTCCAAGTTTTTAATTTCACAAGGGTAGACAAGATGTCCAGGATCCCATTTCAGGAAGCAAAGGGCTTTGATTCAACTTTCAAGTCATCCCCTTTACGGCCAACATAAAGAAATTATCCAGGTAAGCAAGTGGAACATGGGACCACACGTGTTCCATCTTCCAAGGGTCAACACGTTTGAGCCCCAAACACATTGATAGCAAGGAAAAAAATAAGAGATATACATAGACAATATGAAGAACATCATAGATAGTTCGCATCTTAACAACAAAGCTGAGTATTTGAAAACTAACAATAATTGAAGACCAACATCAATTTCTAAAGGCATTCAGAATTAATATTCAACTGGGGAGTCCACACCCAACTCACCCCCTTCTCAGTACCCTTGATTAACGAAACAGCACTAAGAATAGGCAAACAGACCAATTGTCAACCTTACTAAGAATCTAAGACATGATAAGTAACAAAGAAAATAAACAAGTAAAAACATCTGAAACTTGTAGGAGTAATCAATCTTTGAGAAGCTTACCCGACGTTGTGGGAACAACTTGCAAATCTGTTTGATAACAACAGACTGTTTGTGGAGACGTTCCGAGGTAATCGCCATCTGCAGTTCATAATTATTCTAAGCATTAAATGCAATATCTTTTGATCAACTAGAGAAGATGATATCTTGGTCAAGGTATGTCTCCACTGAAGAACGATTTGTATTGCAATTACCAAAGATTAAGAGAAGCAACCAGGAGATGGGAAAAAAAAAAACTGACTAACTATAAAACCAATACTCACATGCCCCAAGCTTTGCGTACATATAAGATTAGGGTAGAATTTTTCCAGTTGCTCCACACGATTTCTTTCCAACTGCAATGAGAAGAAGTCCAAGACAAATATCTCCATTCATGATCGGAAAGAAAATCCATTTGATGACTATGAGAATAGTACTAATAGTTTAATTAATCTAATAAAAGCCAAAAATAGGATGAAAATCAATCATACCACAGTCATGGCTGACTCAAGCAATTCATATTTGACTTTTAAATCATATGACATCTTCTCAATCTTAGTGTTCCCTACAAAAAATCAATTAGTCAAACAAGCTCACAAAGTAAAATCTAGGCACTGCTCAAGGTAAATTTCATGCAACAGTGCAGGGCAGTCAACCTTGCAGATATTGTTCTCTCTTAAGACGAAGCTTCTCCCTTAATCTTGCAAGCTTCTCACTTTGAAGCACCCTCCAACTGAGCTGATCATCCGCCTTACTCTGACAAAGGTTAAGCAATCAAACTCATGAAGCAAGCATATTTGCCAGAGATGCATTGAACAACAATGAGACAAAATTGAGATTACTTATGAATGGCAACATATTAAGATGGCAATGAAAAAGCAGCAGCAATGGTGTTAAAAATCCAAAATAGAAGAGAAATCAAAGACACATTACTAAAACAAAACTATGAATAACTGTGGAAGGAGCTAACAAGATACAAAGCTAGATGATTCTATATAGGCTTTTACAATTATTGGAGATGGCCAAATACATTTTTACATTCACATGAACCCATTTAAAACCCTCATTGTAAGAAGCATGGACACACTAATAAGGTAATGTACCCGTGTCAGACACCGACACTATCAGATACACCCAGACACCTATCAAACAACCATTTGGAACATGTCCTATTATTTGCTTTTAATCTTTTTAGAATCAAACATGCTTCGGACACTTGGGGGACATACATGTCCATCATTTGTCGTGTACATACTTATATTTCAAATCATGAATAAAAAAATATACATGGCACATGAAACTAAAAGAAATTGGTTTACTAAAATGATATTTATCCGAGCCACTATCGGTATCGGTACAAAAGCCACAAATTCAGGCCTCGCTAAGGTGCTTCCCTCGTATCACTGGATAGGTTCATAACCAAATAATCATTCTACACAATAGAACATAGATAATCCACTGATATTTAAACAAAAATAACAAGACAGAAAGATCTACTACAAGTTCACAAGGGGGAAAAAATCAGACCTTTGCCACAAGCTTTTCACTCAATTTTGAATACAGTAAATCCCGACGACTCTTCAATGACTTCAAAGTAGTACTATACTCATTTAATCTGCATCCAACAAAACATAGAAACAACAAATCACAATCACAATCAATTTCTCTCGGCAATGAAATTTAAGAACTTGGCGATGCTACTGAATCTGGAGAATTCATTGACCTGTAATTGACACAGACGGGGCAAATGGAAGCAAGATTGGAGTTGTCACAGATGGCACAGCTGCTCGTTTTTCTCGTCGTCGTCGTCATCTATTTACCTCTTCATCGCAAAAACCACAACGCAAATTCCCAAACCTTTATTCACCCAAAAAAATTCCCAAACCTTTTATCACCGCAGCACAATCCAAAATCACAAATTCTCAGCGTTTGAGACTTTCAAATTCAGAATTTTGTAATAAGAAATCCGAATGTCTGAGAGATTGATCAAGACGTAAGGTAGGGTTTACAGAGGTTGTTTGGTGCAGTAGAGGAATTTCGAATTTGATATAGGGATGAATTAAAATCGACACAAGTAGAGAGAGAGAGAGAGAGGCCTTTGTCTCTCTCCTGTTTCAAGTTTCAAAAAGCTAGCTCTCCTTTTATATGTTTAATTATTTTTTTAAGAAAAATAAATTAAAAAAATGCAATGGCAATTCTTGTGGTTTGGCTTGAAGTTTATTACCACTTAGATTCCACATTTATTAATTTGCGCACATAAAATTCAATGTATTATATAAAAATTTGATGAGAAGCCCTTTAACATAGTTTTACACCATTTTTATATAAAAATTTGATGAGAAGCCCTTTAACATAGTTTTGTACCATTTTTAATGTGTAAATTTTTTTTCAAATGTAATTATCTTGCAATGGACATAAATGGGCATGGCGTATTTTTATAAGATAAAATTTCAAACTAATGTATAAGTTGAAAAATAATTATAAATTAGTAATAAATTTTATCAATATTAATAATTAAAATTATAAATCTTTTTCATATATGTAAGAGGGATTAACTTGAACTCATTAAACAAATTGGATCCAATCGGAGCCCTATCGAAAAGCCTAAAAATTAATGAGTCCGGAGAAATTATCACCAAGTGACTTCAAATGAATTTTATTGCATGGACCCATGAGAAAGTCAACAAATTAGGTCGAGAAAGACCCATTGGGATTATATCTCTAGAGAAAGTCTAGCAAGCCCATTCGAGGAGACCTAGATCATACGAGCGTCCGAGAAGGTTGATTATTGTTTTCAAAAGAGATAAAACTCTCGGAAGAGATCCATTTTTCGAGGTTTTTGCTTAGTCTCGAAAGGGCTCGAAATTACAAACCTAGAGACCTATTTGAATTTGGACTCAAAAGGATTTGGATCCACGAACCTAGAGATCCGAAGTTCTTAGCTTCGAATGGATTTGGACGAAATCTAGAAGCCACTCTGTTGATGAATCCCAAAACACTTTGCAGGCTTAGAACTTTCTGGGATCTACCAGAACCATGGCACGTGATGGAGTCCAACAAAGGACTCGATCCCAATGCCGGTGAGTGAAGATAAATTCACTCTTTAGTTAAACTAGCTTATACCCAGGTCGAGGTGGCACGATTTAGGGGATCTTTGAGACTCAACAATATTTGTCACAGGACATTCTCTTGAACTAACCTTGACCATTTTGCGGCATGGCGTCCTCTAGGACAACTCCTGACCTTTTGGGATAATTTAGGATCATTGATTAGACGTGGTTAAGAAGAAGGGTTCACTGAGAGGTTAATCTCCTCTTTAGAATTTTTCTTATTTTCGGAGAGGTCACCTCCTCAAACAAAGTGGTTAGAGAGAATATTTCTTATGTGCCTTGCACATGGGCTCTATCCTATATCATACGGTGCTTATAAATAGCATACACTCATAGCTTTACAATGGAAGGATTTTGGAGAGACAATTTTTGAAAGAGAACTAATTTCCCTTCTCCATTATTTACCTTGAGAGTAAAAGTAAGAAATACATGAGAGAATCATGTCATTATTCTCTCTCTAACTACTTTGTCTTCTTCTTCACACAATCTCTTATCTCCGTCATCTCTTTGCTATTGTGTTTCTAGTTGCAACCGTTGAAGAATCTAAGCTTCTCATCATTTCTAGAAGATTCGAAGTTTTCGACATTGTTCAAACTTTCTTGTCACGACCCAAACCCAGTACCCAAAGGCTCAGCATCGTAACAAGATAAAAATAAAATAATTCAGATAATTCTATAGTCATAGCGCAAGCGGATAAATTAAATAATTTAAAATAAATAATTAGGTACCAACTATTTATTTAAAAGGAAATAAAACATAGTCATTTGAGCTTCACTGTATTACAAGAGTTTAATAATAAAAGATAGAAATCTAAAAAAAAAACAAAATAACATAGCGATTCATTTTCCATCTTGGTCCCGCTAAACCTTGTCACCTGAAAGGGATAACAGCTATAAGTACATAGTAGAGTGAAGAAATATTATACTATGAGGGGCACAAAATGGCCATGGATATTTATTTAAGCTGAAACATTATAAATTGAGTTGAGTTGAATACACAAATTAATTAAGTGCCAGAAACTGAAATAATCACTATAACCACGGTACATCACTAAGTGCCAAGCACTACACTGGTCAATGGATCCACGACAAACACTGGACCACAAAGTGGTCAATCACTAAGCCCATGGTTATTTAAGTCCCTCAAGGCATGAGACTCACTAAGCCAATGGTTATTTAAGTCTCCCAAGGCCTGAGACTCCCGTGGTGGTACTTACAAAACATATTTTCATATAAGGTCATAGCCAAATTTTCTTTAAAAGTAAAACAGACATATCCATGGGTTTCCTTTTAAGCAAATAGGATTCAGAAATAAAACCACGTAACTGAAACCTTTATAAAACATAACTTTTATAAATATATTAATAAAACATAACTCGTATAAAATAGATTTTGGTAAGTCAAAACATAAGTAAAATACTTTTGGTAACTCAAAGTATAATATAACTCACCTTAAATTAATTCCTTTATCCTTTCTTTCCACCACCACTCAAAATTTCACTTGCCGTTCTCCTTTCTACTCTCTAATTACTTGTTTTTCGTCGCCTTAACACGAAAATCTCCTCTATTTATAGGACAAACAGTCTTGGGTAATAAGCTACTGACATTGACGCGGTCCACCCTTATCCCCTCATTTATAATCTCAATTTTATTTTATTTTATTTATATTTTTTTGGCCGTGGACTTGTTGACCATTTGACTATTTTTTTAAATTAAGAGTTATTACCTTCTTTGGTACTTCAAGATGGCTCCCAAGATAATAATAAGTTAGGTTCGCGTCTAAAAACTCACCACCCTACTATAAATCACCACTTACCACTTATTAAAATATTTAATATGTAGTGTTTCATAACGTATTTCCTTAACCATAAAATTCCCAATTTCCTAAATTATGTATTTATTTATTATCATTTATTTATTATTATTATTATCACTATATGTATATATATATATATATACTTATTTTTTTATTATTATTATTATTATTATTAGTATTATTTATTTATTTTATCGTAATGTTAAATTTAAAACATTCGGGTGTCACATTTCTCCTCTCCTTAAAAGAAGTTTGTCCTCAAACTTGGCGTACCTTGGTTTTCGAAAAGGTGTGGGTATTTAGCTCGCATTTGGCTTTCAGTTTCCCACGTTGCTTCTTCAACACGATAATTCCTCCATAAGACCTTTACGAGAGGTATAGTTTTATTTCGAAGGATCTGATCACGACGATTGAGAATCTATACAGGTTGCTCTTCGTAGGAGAGATCTTCTTGAACTTCTAGGTTCTCATAATCGACAACATGCTCTGGATCTCGAAGATATCGACGAAGCATCGAAACATGAAACACATTATGGACATTAGATAGTTCGGGTGGAAGCGCAAGACGGTATGCTACAGGACCAATTTTTTCGAGTATCTCGAATGGGCCGATGTATCGTGGTCTTAACTTCCCTCGCTTTCCAAATTGGATAACCCCTCTTGTCGGTGAGATTTTGAGGAACACATGATCTCCTATTTGAAATTCTAAGTCTCGTCTTCGTGTATCTGCATAGCTTTTCTGGCGGCTCTGGGCAGTGCGAATTCGTTGTTGGATGAGTTAAATTTTATCACTCGTTACTTGCACGATCTCGGGGCCTAATAATTTCCTGTCTCCGACTTCCGTCCAACACATAGGTGATCGACATCTTCTTCCATACAATGCCTCGTACGGTGCCATTCCAATACTTGCGTGGTAGCTATTATTATACGTGAACTCCACTAAAGGTAGGTGATCATCCCAGTTACCTTTGAGGTCTAGTACGCACAAACGTAGCATATCTTCCAAAGTCTGGATCGTCCTTTCAGACTGCCCATCGGTTTGCGGGTGATAAGTCATGCTAAACTTCAGAGTAGTTCCCAAAGCTTCTTACAATTTGTTCTAGAAGTGAGACACGAAGCGGGGGTCTCTGTCAGATACAATTGAAACCGGGGTGGCGTGCAAACGAATGATTTCCTTAATGTGTAGAGTGGCGAACTTAGAGAGGAAGTACATGATTTTGATTGGTAGAAGATGTGTCGACTTCGTCAATCGGTCTACGATAACCCATATTACATCATTTTTCGAGACTGATTGCGGTAGCCCGACCACGAAATCCATAGTAATATGCTCCCATTTCCATTCGGGAATAGGGAGTGGCTGCAACATACCTGCAGGTCTCTGATGCTCTGCTTTAACTTGTTGACAACGCAGGCATTTGGAGACATAGTTTGCTATGTCTTTCTTCATTCCTGTCCACCAGAAGTGTTCTCGCAGATTGTGAGTCATCTGTACGTCTACAGGATGGATCGCAACCTTCGAGCTATGAGCCTCTACCAATATCTTTTTCTTGAGTTCTGGGAGGTCGGGTACACAAATTCGATTTCAAAATTTTAGCATCCCATTGCTTATCGTAAAGTCAGGATCAGGTGTGTTTCCTTGCTCCTCGTACTTTTTCTTTAAAAGTTTATCTTCACATTGGCGGGCTTTAATTTCCTCAATCAACTCGAGTTCCACGATTATGTTGGCGAGCAGCTCATTGATCTTGTGGGGAACGAGAATACATGTCAAACTTTTGGTCGTTTTTTGACTCAATGCGTCTGCTACTACGTTAGCTTTGCTGGGATGATGATGGATTTCTATATCGTAGTCCTTCATAAATTCTAGCCATCGTCGTTGCCTCATATTCAATTTCTTCTGTGTAAACAGATATTTGAGACTCTTGTGATC